GCAGGCCTAGGGGCCAGGGAGCCAAATGGCTCAGCTCCCTCTGTTTCGAGAGAGCCTACAGCAGGAGCACAGCTGATGAATAGCCTTCAGATACTGCCCTGAGCTTGAAGCTTTGTTCTCCCAGACTGCTCTGGCTATTGGCTGACCTTGGCAGTTTGCATTTTAACCCCAAAGTCCCCCAAGAGCAGCTTTGACTTTGGGACTTCCCAGTGTGCTGGTAGATACCTGTCTTAGAACTGGGGGCTCTTCTTCCCAGACTTTCCTTTGCTGCGCCCTTTCACAGGTGTCCAGCCTGTGTCACTGTCGGAATGCTCTCCAGCCTCCTCTGCCAACTTCCTCCCATCTTTCAGGGCTAGTGAATCTCCTGTTTATGCAGTCCTGTCTTGGTATTACTTCCTAGAAGACTAGAGGGACCTGACAGACTAGGCCACTGCAGGATCATGTCCTGGCCTCTGAGATTTACCCATTGTTTGTCTTCTTGACCATGTTGGCTGGCATTCCTCTTTATTGGTGTGCAAAGCAAAAAATCAAACTTCCAAACTACTGGTGTTTCAACAAAAGGAGAGTCATTGTTCAACACACAAGATACTGGGTAAACAGGTATATCTGTGCCATCTATACTTGTCAACTTTTGTTGTATTATGCTGTAGTTCAAACCCCAAAGCCCCAACAGCTGACAAACCTAAAAGCACATACTTCACTTTCTTACATGTCAGCTGGGATCTAGTTATCGCCTGTGTCCCAGGTCGTCTTAGCTACTTTGCTCATTGCTGTGATCAATCACCTCATACGAACAACTTAAGGAAGGGAGGAAGGAAGACCAGCTGGTTTACTTTGACTCACAAGTTGAGGATACAGTCCATCATGGTGGGGAAGGCATGATGGCAAGAATGTGAGGTGGCTGGTTACATTGTATCTGCAGTCAGGATGCAAGGAAAGAAAGATGCTGCTGGTCTCAGCTCCTTTTCTTCTTTTTCCTCAGAACTTGGAATGGTGCTGTCCATCTTCAGGGTGAGTCTTCCCTGCTCACGGAAACGTTTTGGAAACACTTTTTTTTTTTGTTTTGTTTTTGAGACAGGGTCTCCCAGTAGCCTCAGCTGGCCTGGAACCCACTATATAGACCAGGCTGGCCTTGAACTCACAGAGATCCACCTGCCTCTGTCTCCCGAGTGCTGGGATTAAAGGTGTACGCCACCATGCCCAGCTGGAAATACTCTTATAGATACACCCCAAAGTGTGTTTCTATGATGATTCTAAATCTAATGAAGTTGACAATGATGATGAACCATCACAACTCCACCCCTTGTCGACTTGACACCCAAGTACATCTCTTTAAATAATAACTTTCACTCATTCTCCAAAGTTTCATGTCATAGTGCATTCTGCTCAATTTCAAAAGTCCCCATAGTTCTGTAGGGTCCTAAGTGTTCAAAATACAAATTCTAAACTCTCTTCTGAGACTCAAGACAATCTTTTATCTGCGAGCACTTGCAAAATTAAAAAAGCCAAACAAGTTATATACTGTCAATATACAATGGCACAGGTAAACATTACCATTACAAAATGGAGGAACAGGGGCATAGCAATAAAATATCAGATTAAAGCAAGACAGAAACCTAACAAGCAGGGCATCAAATCCTGATGCTCCATCATCAGAAAAGTACCCTACAAGACATAAGTGCAGGAAAGGACTTTCTGAATTGGACATCAGTTGCTCAGGATTTAAGGTCAACAGTTGACAAAGGGGACCTCACTAAAGAATTTCTGAACAGCAAAGGAAACAACCAGTTGAATACAGAGGAAGCCCACAGAGTGGGAGAAAATCTTCACTAGCCGGACATCTAACAGTCATTAATATCCAGAATATGCAAAGAACTCAGAAAACAAAGAATCAGGGAAACCAATGACCTAATTAAAAAATGGCTATGGATCTGAATAGAGAGCTTGCAAAAGAAGAAATAAAGTTGGCTAAGAAAACCTTAAAAGTGTTCAATATCCTTGGTAATTAGGGAAATGCAAACCAAAACTACTTTAAGATTTCGTCTAACCTCAGTCAGAATGGTTAAGATCAAGAGAACAAGACACCAAACACTGATGGGGACACAGGGAGGGGGGGACACTCACTCCTGGTGGGGTTGCAAACTGGTGCTACCACTGTGGAAAGCAGTGTGGAGAACGCTTAAGAAACTAAAAACACATCTACCATACAATCCTATTATACCACTCTTGGGGTATGCCCAAAGGACTCATTCTACTGAAGAAGTGCTTCTGCAGCCGTGCTTGTTGCTGCTCTTTTCACAACAGCTAAGAAATAGAAACAATCTAAATGTTCCTTATCTGATGACCAGATAATGAAAGTGTGGTGCCTTTACATTACAATGGAGTTCTACTTAGCGGTAAGAAAAGATGAAATTATAAAATTTGCGGGTAAATGGATGGAATTAGAAACTGTTATACTAAATGAAGTAAGACAGACTCAGAAAAACAAGTGACCTATGTTCTTGTTCCTTTGTGGATCTTAGCTCCAAATTCTTAGATGAGAGCATATATCCTGATGTAACCCCAGGAGCCATGAAAATGGAAAGAAACCATGGGGGTAAAAGAGAAGAAGGTGTGTGAGAGGGGGGGATAGTAAGACAGGTGTTATCAAGGGGTAAATGGGGAAAATGGGGGTACTTTAACTGGGGAAAGAGAAGGAGGGTTGTAGAAGTGAGGGGTGAGAGGGGGGATAAGTAATGCTTAGGTGGTGTGATAAATCAGAGGGAAATGTATTAGTTCAAAAGCCTACTAAAAAATACTCATACACTGTGTATACACAAGTGCATATGTATAGCTGAAGGCTATATAACAAATCACAGTGCCAGGTGGGAAAGATCTCCTTTTGAATTGTTGGTCATGGTAGTTTTAAGAGACTCCCCAAATAACACAGGCTACTGCCGCAGCCCTTGATTACCTCCCAGAACTTGAAGGTAAGACCCTATTGCTGGAGACAGGACATACTTTGGACACAGGACTTAGAGCAACAGAAATGGAACTCACCCGGAAGTTCCTTTCTGAAGACAAGCTCTCATAGTATCAGAGGATTCTATCCAAGCTGCCAAGGGAGAAAGCAATCAATGGTCCTACCCAGCAGGAAAGCCTAATAAACTCGATAATGACTGGCCTAGCAAACTGTTTCTACTGGTGTGGTAGTGTTGCTTTTATCTTAGGGGGCAATCAACAGCTGTCTTATTGGACCTAAGGTCCACTCAACGGGAGGGACCTCAAGTGCTGTACTGTAAATGTAGCCAAATACTAATGGGTGGAGAGGCCATAGATCCTAGAGAAAATCCTACTTTTGTCACATCTCTAGACCAACATAATTTCTTACTGTATTCTAAATATGTATCCTTATATTTACAGATAAGTATACCTCACACCATTATCAAAAAAAAGTTTCTTTTTGCAATAGATGGAGACTATTATAAAATTCTGCAACTGGTCAAATTCAGAGAATAAGTGTCTGTGAGATGCCCAGCCCTAAGTGACACATCTACAATGCAATCTCTACACCTAAGGCTCAAGGAACATAGCAGAGCAGGAGGCAGAGAAAATATTAATGCATCTCTGAACTCTTAGCAGTGAAGCTTCTTCCTATGACAGAAGGTTATTAACAACAAAAAGCCACAACTGGCCAAAGTGCAGAGAATAAGAGGCTGCAGAGTGATTGTCCCTGGGTAGGATGCCTTTATCAACCCCCTGCCACCCAGGGCTCAGGGACCATTAGGAAAGAGGGGGCAGAAAGACTGTAGAGCCAGGGGTGGTGGATTACCACAAGGGAATAGTTTTTCAGGCTTCTGGGAAGTTGCTCATATGAACTTACAACAATAATAACAGCATTCACAAACCAATGCAAACTCAAACCAGATAAAAACCCAGAAGTGGGGCAATTGCTAAGAAGCCCCAACCTTAACATTGACAACTGATGACTATGGGGAGAAGGAGAGTTGGTGTTTCTTTAAGAGAGTGACACTTGTTAGGTTGGCAGGCTTCAGCGTATGGACTCACACTGAAGGGCATTTGGGGCTATAAATTTTGCTTGATAGGTCTGAAGACATATGAAAGAATGCATGAAATCTGGTGTGAGGAAGTATGGGGAGGTGCAGATAAGGGAGGGGGTCTAAATATGATCACAATATATTATATGAAATTTGCAACTTCAATAAAAATAAATAAAAAGAAAAATAAAAGGGAATAAAACATTCACTTATTTATTTTTGTGGTATGAGTGTTTTGCCTGCATGCATGTAAGTGCACCTATGCCACGCAATGCCCGCAGAGGCCAGAAGAAGGTGTTGGATCCTCTGGAACTTGAAATAAGGATGAATGTTAGCTGCCATGTGGGGGCTGGAAACCAAACTGGGGTTCTTGACAAGAGCCAGGATTCTTGACCATTGAGCCAGCTCTCTGGTCACATGATCCCCTTAACACTAGGAAAGAGGACAATGAGATGTGGAAGTTGCTCCTCATTATTCACAAGCTTTGTATCATGAATTTCTCTACTTGCTGTAATTTGTGTGCAACCCCAAACTCGTCTGCTTTCACGGACATCTACATATGCAGAGAACAGGGCAAAATGTGGGTTTTCTAATGTGCATCTCTCTGCTAAGGTTGAACAAGCAACCGTTTGTACCTTCGACAATGAGCACAGGACTCGGTGGTAGGGCTTGTGCAGCAGGTGTGAGAAGTTCAAACCCTGGGATCAGAAGATGAGTTTGATTCCTGACTCACTCATGGTATGGTTTCAGGAAAGTCACTTAACACTTCTGAACCTTGTTTCCCTTTTGTAGGATAAAGAAGAATCTAGAATCTAACAGGCTGACTTTAATGAAATGTATAAAGAGTAAAGTTTTCTCCAACTCAAGGTTCTGGAGGCTCCAGATTGGGTGGCCCCACTGCTTTGACCTCTGAGCGGTCCAGATGCCAGTGGTGGGATACGGTGGACTACTCACAGCGTGAGCCAAGAGACAGACTCCGAGAGGCTAGGCTGCACAGCCCCTTTTGAGGATATCCCCTCTGTGAGTTGATCACACACTAGGCCTCACTTCTTTTTTCAAAAAGTATTTTATTGTTTTTATGTACATGAGTGTATTATGTGCTTGTATGTAAGTTTACATGTGTTGTGCAATGCCCATGGAAGTCAGAATAGGGTGTCAGATCCCCTGGAACTGGAGTTATGGATGATTGTTAGCTACCTTGTGGGTGCTGGGAGTTGAACCCAGGTCCTCTGCAGGAGCAACCAGCTCTCTTAACCACTGAGTCATCTCTCCAGACCCCTAGGTCCCACTTCTTAACATTCCACTGTCTCTCCCAATAGCACTACTTTGGGGATCATGCCTTTAATATATGGACCTTCAGGGACACTCATTCAAACCACAGCTCCCCCCACCCCCGCACTGCTTCTTTGGAGAGCACTCACATATGTACAGTGATTTACTAGACAAGCATGTACTAGTATGATGGTAAGAACAATCCATGAAACTTACATATAAGCTCAACGAAGACACAGTTTTCTGCTTAAATATGGCCCCTTTGCATGCCAAACAATATTCGACAAGTCAGAATGAGGCTGCCTTTCTAATTGGCAACAGGCAGTCAGAAGCTTGGCTGTGGGAAGAACCTTTCGACATCAGCATTGAGCACAAGCCCCAGGGCTGCCAGGTTCTTAGACTTCATGCTTGCAAGCTTTCTGTAAAATATTTAACTCAATCCACATAGTGTGTGAGAGACACTAATTTTGCTAATAAGTGTGGCTTTCTAACATCTATTACACTAATTAATAGTCCACATGTATCATCAATGAAAACCCGTTTCTTAACTCATTGCACTAATTAGCAAGGTCCCTAGTATTTATAAAAGAAAAAGAAATGAAGGAGAGCGGCATAGTCATTCCAGAAGATTTCTGATTAGGTCACTTGCTGTCCAGTCTTGGGAGGTGAAGTCCTGATTGTTGGTAACTGACTGCACCTAGAGTGTGGTTGAAACTAATTGGTGCATATATGAAGTCACACTGTTATGCCGAAGTATTAAAAAGTAAACTCCTGACATTATAACTGTGTGGTATAAGAAATGATATATTCCTGAATCAAATTTTAATCTGCTTTAGGCCACTACTCACTGGGTGGCAGCAAACGCAGTCCCAATCCTTAGTGGGGTCTTCTTATAAGACTCCTCCTTTGAGGTCACATGAGGATATCCCAGGAGTCTTATGTCCCTAGCATCCAACACAGTCATACCAGCATCTTCTTGCTGTGATTCTTCTGATGTGCTTCTGTCCCAAGACCACCTCAAGCCTAACTTCTGGGACCTCTGGAAAGGCTGGAAACCCAGGACCTAGGTCCTATCTAGGTATGCCACATGACCATGTCCCTGAAGAGCCAGGAGAGGAAGCCCCACCCACCATTAAACTTCCAAACTTTGACAGTGTCCTAGTCGGTTTCTCTATTGTTATGACAAAACACTCTGACCAATATCAACTTGGAGAGGAAAGGGTTTATCTGTCTTATGTATCCCAGGTCACAGTTCATCCAGGAGCCCAAGGAAGGAACTCAGGGCAGGAATTTGGAGGCAGGAGCTGGAGCATAGGCCATGGAGGAATTCTGCTTACTGGCTTGCTCCCCTGGCCCCTGCTCAGCCTGCTTTCTTATGCAACACAGGTCCACCTGCCCAGGAATGGCACCACCCACAGTGGGCTGGGCCTTCCCACATCACTCATCAAGAAGATGCCCCTCAGACATGGCCACAGGCCAGTCCAATGGAGGAAATTCCCCAACTGAGGCTCCCTCAACCCAGGTGTGTCAAGTTGACACTAAAGCTATCCAGCACAGACAGCCCCTTTGATCCTTCCAGTTGTCAGGACACTCCATACATCGAGTATGGAGTGTCCTGACTTCCATATTTCCTCTCTTCCTTAGGATGAAAAGAACCCAGAGGACCACTGGGGAATGGCAACCCAGAAGCAGGAGGAGACCAGGTAGAACCCTTGAATCTTTGGAGCAGGAAAGTGAGAGGGAGAAAGCTGGATGGCTCGGGCCTGAGCAAAGAAAGGGCCATGAAGGATTTCTCCAATGCACTGAATCAAGGAAGGCTTCTCAGAGGGCAAGAATCTAAGCAGGGGGGTTGAGGGTGTGTGCAAGTGTGGTGGAGAAGATGGGGAGGCTACTGCATATTGATGAGAAAAGGCATCAGAAATGTGTCTTTAGAAGCTGAGCCTCGGTTGGAGTCTCCTTCCTGCAGGCTAATGGCATCTCTACCTTGTTCTCAGAGAGGTGTGCCTGAGTATAACTGGAATCATCATCACCATCTTCAACTCTGCAGCTGCCACAAGGCACCTAACCTGCTAGAGAGATGGTCTGCCCTTTCTCTTTCAAGTACTGCACAGCCTAGCTGCTCCCTGTCACAGACTCTGTAATAAGGCTCTAGAGTCTTCCCATCTTTATCCATGCTCTATGGAATTTGAATTGGATCCCGAGCCTGTGAAGAAATCTCATGCTAATGACCCTGAATGGGTATGTTCTGGTCTTACCAGTCTCTGATGGTCTTACCAATCACCCCTTCCTTCTCTAGCCCCCATCAGCTCTGTGCCTATGGTTTTGAGTTTTATTGTAAGAGTTTCTCTAATTGGCAATTGTATAGGACTGTCCTCCAGGTCAGACAGCCGCCCTCCTGAGTTCAGCTCAGCTGTGTCCGATCGCAAAAGATCATCACAGCTGGGTTTGTCGACTGTTGATGTTCCTGCATAGGAGGGGCATGGAGAGTAATGGGGGCTTCACCTGAGTATCCACCCATACCTTCCAACCTGTGGTAGGCGAGTCAGCCTTAAGGGAAGGTGGCCTGGGGGAAGGATTATACAGAGTGGGGAAGACTAAAGGATGGGCTCTCTATTTGGCTATGGGGAAGGCATCATCCATGCTGGGTAAAGACTTTCCAGGTGGGCTTAGCAGGGAGCACCCACACTTCTGTATATAACCCCTCACCCGTTGCCTCTATATGAAAGCCCAATAAATTCATTGGTTTCCCAGAGAGTACGTTTTGGTGAAATTGTGCCTTTGTTTATCATTGGGACCAAGGGAGGAGGGGATGGACAGCGTTCACATCTCTCCTCTAGGGAAGGAATTTTAGCAGCAACAGTGGAAAGGCTCATTTGTACCTGAAGCTTCAGTCTGGCTTCTCCTTGACCATATGGTGCTACTCTCCATAGAAAGAGGCAACACTGGCCCCACTGTGACTCTGACTATGGGAAAGCAAAAGTCAAATGAGAGTGGAGAGAGATTTCCCCTCTTCCTAACCCAGAGCTCAGTGGAGGCACCAGGTAATGTCCCCCTCTCAGGCCCCCCAAATCAGCTGCATCCTGATCTATGCAAGACTGGTTGGGCTGCAAGTTGATCATGGACTCCCCCATGTTTCTTCCTCTGAATTTCCACAGGGTTAATTTTATGAGCCAACTCAGTTAGGCCATGATATCCAGACATTTGATCAACCACGAGTCTAGAGGGTTCTATGTAGGTATTTTTCAGATGAGATGAATATTGAAATCAGTAGACACTAAATACAGTATATTACCCTCCAGTATGTGGGTGGATGTCATCTAGTCAGTGCAGAGCCTTAAGAGAAAGCAGACTGAGGTTTCCTCAAAGAAGAAGGAATCCTGCCTGGAGACTGCCTTTGAACTCAAGCTGTAACATCAGCTCTTCCATAGGCTTGCTGGTGACCTGGCAGATTTGTCAGCATCCAAAATAATATGAGCACTAAAGACATCTTTGCCTCTATGTATGGAGTGTCCATCTGAGAAAGAGGTTGATAGAAGATACATGGAGAAAGTGACCCCTAAGGATGAGCTAGAGACTTTTAAATTATATACAAATTTGTTTTTCCTATGAAAGGATATTAATGTCAGAAGGTTCTAGAAAGAATAGTAAATGAGAAAATTGATCTTTAAAACAGTGAGCAAATCTAAACCAGAATTTATAAGTTGATAAAAAAATCAACTAATCAATGAAACTCTGTTGATTATGTTGGGATAAAAAAAGTTTTACTGTAAATAAAGGTTATCAATGTATAAGATCAAAAGCCTTTAAAGTGACTAGAGGTCTTATTTTTCAGGAATTTTGATATATGATTTCAGTCTTTATCTAATTAAGATGTGGATTAAAACTAAAAGTAAGTACAAAATGATCAGAGACATAAAATCACATCCATGTAATTAGAAACGAAAAAGGAGATTAAGGAAAATGTAACCTGGGCTGGGGACATGGCTCAGATGTAAAGCATTTGCCTTGCAAGCATGGGGACCAGGGTTAGGATCTTTAGACCTCATGGTGATGCATACCTGTAATCCTAGTGAGGTGGGAGGAAGAGACAGATGAATCCCTAGAAGGCCATGGGTCAGCTAGCCTGGCCTATTTGGTGATCTTCCAGGTCAATGAGAGACTCTGTCTCAAACAAAAGGTGGAAAGCGCCTGAGGACTGACACCAAGGGTTGTCCTCTAATGTCCACAAATGCACCGTGAACACATGTATTCACACCCATATATGCACCTCCCAAAACACACACACACACACACACACACACACACACACACACACAAAGAAAATGTGATCAGACAAAAAGACAAAAAAGATATAGTAGTCACCCCTTATCCAAATCACCCCTTGACCAAGTCACTCCACATTCCTAGACCCCACCAGTGAATGCCTGAAATCTGACTAGTATCACACCCTCTATATCCTGTGTTTTCTCCTATGCATGCATAGTTGTAATAAACATTAATTTAGAATTTATTTTTATTTGTGTGTATGAGTGTTTTACCTACATGTAATTTAGTGCACCAGTGTTGTGCAAAGCCCACAGAGGTTGAGAGGGTGTCAGAGCCCCTGGAATTGGAGTTACAGATGGTTGCTAGTTGTCATGTAGGTGTTGGCAACAGAATCCAGTTCTTCTGCAAGAGAAGTCAGTGCTCTTAACTGCTGAGCCATCTTTCCAGCCCCCCATAAACTTTAATTTATAAATTAGGAAGAATAAGAGATTTTAAAAAAACACAAGAAAAGCTATACCAAGATACTATAATAAAATTGTCAGCATCACTACTCTTGTACTTTGGGACCATTATTAAGTATCATAAGTGTTACTTGATCTATCTATCTATCTATCTATCTATCTATCTATCTATCTATCTATCTATCTATCTATCTATCTATCTATTATCTATCAATCATCATCTGTCTATCATCTATCATTATCTATCAATCTATCTATCATCTATCTATCACCTATCTATCCATCTATCTATCATCTGTCTATCATCTATCTATCATTATCTATCTATCATTATCTATGTATCAATCAATCTATCCATCATCTATCATCTATCTATCATCTATTTATCTATCATCTATCTATCTATCTATATCTATCTATCTATCTATCTATCTATCTATCTATCATCTATCAATCATCTATCCATCCATCTAGAATGAACAACTGCAATGAGGTATATAACATAATGGGAATTTTAAATTGGCAAATTAAAAAAATTGTATATTTTTTCCTCAACTCTTATCAGTGAAACTTCCTTATACAACAGAGTGCGATGCACACAGAAGGCCACAACTGGCAAAGTTTTAAAGAATAGGAGACTATAGAGTATGTGTCCCTGGTAGGACTCCTATAATGAATCTCACTCACCCACTGCTCGGGACCATTGTAGAAGACGGGTGGAAAGATTGTAAGAGCCAGGGCTGGTTCATGAACACAAGGAAGCAGAAGCTTTCAGGCCACTGGAAGTTTGCACATGTGAACTGGTGGAAATGGTGGCATCAGGCAAAGGACCCACACCAACTCAATCAGACAAGGGCCCAGAGCGAGAGAAATGAGTGGCAGGTCGACCCTAGAATGGGAACTATTGGAGAGTGATTGCTACTAGGTGAGGAAGTATATGTCTTACTTATGATCTCTAGATGGGCTGACTAGATTCTAGTGGATGAATTTGCACTGAAAGACATCTGGGAACAGATGGTTGACTGGATAGGACTTGGCATATATGGCAGAGTGCATGAGGTCTGATGGGGGTTTGGGGGGCATGGGTGGGGGGTTCTAAATTTGATTGGGAACTGTTGTATGAAATGAATAAAGATTGCAAAAATTCAATAAAAAATTAAAAAATATTTTAAGGAAATCAACTCATTTTTTAACTGGCTAATGTAAAAGAAAAAGCAAGGCCCTATCCTGCCTTTCCTATGCAAACCATCTAGCAGGGTAACCAAATAACTGGTAAGAGAAAGTTTCTTCTTTTTTTCGTGTTCTTCTTTCTTTCTTCATTTTTTTGATCTTTTTGAGGCAGGGTCTCCCTGTAGCCCCAGCTGGCCTGGAGTTCACTATATAGACCAGGCTGGCCTTGAACTCAAAGGGATCCACCTGCCTCTGCCTCCCAAGTGCTGGGACAAAAGGTATGCGCCCCCACACCCAGCTAAAGTTTCTTATTATTAAAGGACTCACCTAGAAAATGAAGAAGGGTTATACAGTTACAATTATAGAAGAATACAGAGTCATCATTTAGCAACTCTTCTTTTTTATTTTTTTTATTTTTTAAAAATTACATAATTTATTATTTCAAAAGGGAAGAGCTGTGACATAAAATCAAATATAATAAACAATACAATAAAATCAAAAACCAAAAATCCAACAGTGTAAATGAAGTCCTGTAGCTCAAAGTCCAACATCTGGGGCCCACTCATGATGGTCTGGGCTCCAAAAGACTTGGGAAGTCCCACTTCTATGACTCTGCCATCCTCAACACACACAGCTTAGCTGGTGAGCTCAGGCCACCTCCACACCACACCTGTCGCTTTCCTTGGTGGTCACCCCATGGTCATAGCATCTCCAATATGCTGAAGTCTCCATTGCAACTGAGGCTACACTTTCACTAATATCTTCCCAGCCCCTCACAGTCGGCCTCAGCGGCTCTCCATGACTCCACCAATCTTGCAACTTTCATGCCACGGAAACTCGTGCCATGTGGTAGACTCTTTTTGTTTTTGTTTTTTTAAAATTATTTATTTAATAACCACATGATTAGAAGAAGCATTTCATTACAGCATTAACACATTCAATAACAATTTCCAGAGCAAAGATACATCTCTTTCAAAGTGGCTGTAAGTTTTTAGGGTCACAGTTGAATCGACACTGTTATACAACATTGAACTCAGTATAAACCCTGTGAGACATAGAATTGAATGAGTTTTTAACCTTTAGCAAATTTTAAAATACAGTTTCATACAGAAAAACTCATTTCAATGGTATTAACACTTGGATGTTTGCACATGTATCTCTAATCTCTATGTATCTGGTTATTACTAGTCACAGTTGGTTACACTCTGATCCTTGGCACCTGAGTATGGCTATAAAGTCATCAGGTAGATTTCAATGGTAATGTTTTTCACCTCTACTAATTAACATGAAGCAAATT